AGTATCACAAGTTGAGGATGCAACTGAATCCATTTTGGTGCAGCTGTATCTACACAACAGATAACAATTGACAGCTAAACTAGTCTTGAATTAGAGCCTTTTATGTGTTCAGGCTTCAATACACACCACAGAATCATAGATATCTATAGGCTATAGCAGTTACAATTTACAAAACAAAACACATATATAAGAAGGAAAGGAAACTTACCCTTGATTTTCAACACAAGTACTAGTTCAAACCTCTCCAATTTGCTAGGTAAAATGTCTGCATATGCAAGAAGTACGAAAATTAGGGCTATATCCAAAACCCCCAATAATTAGGGTTTATAACAGATACAAAAATCATAAAACAAAAAAAGAAGTTGTTGAGGAATGAACTAACCTTTGTAGAGAGAAACCTTGTTTGAAAAATTACATGAGAGAGTAGAATGGGTGATGGCAGATTGAGAGATGAGAGATGTAGAGATGAGAGATTGAGCGACTGAAATATGAGAGGGAGGTGTGTGCGACTCAAGCTATGAAGAAGAAGCGGCGCCGACGACGATGCGACGGCGCCAAGTCGATGCTGAGTGGTGGTGACGATGTGAGGCTGAGGCGGTGAGGTTGAGGCGATGTCGAAGATGCAAAGGGGAGGAGAGATGGATGAGCACGATTGAATTGGGATGAGATCTGATCGACCTAGATTAAGTTGAAGGGCTAGGATATGCTGTGCAAATGTGCACAACATATAAAATTATAATCCAATAAGAATCAGCCATGTGTATTAAAAATATTTAATTACATATAATTTAAGTTACCCGATTCGGTCCGGTTCATCGACGATTTTTAAAATTTCAAACCGGGCGCCGAACCATGAAGGCCGGTTTGGTCCGGTTCATGCACCGTTGGCCAAAAAAAAACAAAAAAACCACACCAAACCGGACTGATCGGTTTGGTTCGGCCGTTTTGGTCGGTTTTCGGTCCCATATGCCCAGCTCTAGTCGCTACCTCACAAAAAATGGAGTTGATTTTCTCATTTTTCTTTTGTTCACTTACACTCCCTTTATTGGAAATTATAGGTTCTCACTCATCTTTTGTCCACTTACACTCTCTTGTTTGAAAATTGTATGTTATAATAAAAATTATTTTTTAAAAAAACAAAAAGGAGGGTAAGAGGACAAAAAAAGAAGTGGGAACATCAGCACAACATAAAAAATGGTATATTTCATTTTAGTCCCTCAGGTTTGACACCAATTGCAATTTAAAACCTCATGTTTAAAACGTTGTAGTGCACTCGACATCATGTAGATATACCACGTGATCGTATTACTTTAGCATTCTATAATCACTCTGTAAGGTGCAATGTCAATCCTTCAATCATCATTCCGTAAGATTCACAGTTAAACGTAGTAATACATAATGTGAGTTCAAGAATATAATATTTGAGTTTTTTAAATATAATATTATTTGAGTTTGAAATCGCAATTATTGTCAACTTGAGGGGCTAAACATTATGCCAAACATTTTTCATAGAACACTATTATTTACTTTGTACAATTTATTTCCTAATTTTATGGAATATAATATTTTTAGATTTGTATATATTTTCAAGTCTATTATTGCATTTTTGAAGGGAGCTAATTTTCTCACTCATGATTTATCCATTTATAATCTCTTTGTTAGAAATTGTACGTTCTCACTCCTGTTTTGTCCACTTACACTCACTATGTTATAAAAAAAATATTAAAAAAAATAATAATAATAGTGAACAAAAAAGACGACTCTGTCGACAAATTTTTTTAAAACTTATCATAAATGGGACACTTTTTATTCTCCATATAATATCTAGAAAAAAAACAGACGAGATATTAAGAAAAAATTATTTCCCTCCGTTTCTTTTAAAAGCGAAACAGAGCTACAGCGGGGTGTATGAACATTTCATTCAATCAAACACGTTACGGAAAGAAGAAGCTACCACGAAGCGTCAGTGTCACGCCAGGTGGTGATCCAACGGCTGGTAATGTCGGTAGCAGTATAAAGCCTTAATCCACCAAATAATCAATCACACTTCTTTCTTCTAAGAAGACTTAAGAGCCTTCTTTCTTTTTCTTCTTCTCTGCAACCACTCCACCTCATTCCTTTACTTTCTTTTCCAAAGAGCTTCGGTCAGGCCAATCGTTGTACGGTTTGTTGTAGGGTTTTCATTTTCGAATTTGATTTTGATGGAGTCGGCAACAACGTCGTCTCGTGAAGCGGAGTTCGAATACTTGTTCAAGCTGTTGATGATTGGGGACTCTGGGGTTGGAAAGAGCACCCTCCTCTTGAGTTTCACTTCCGATACCTTTGAGGATCTCTCTCCTACTATTGGTGACCTTATCCTTCCTTAAATTTTGTCTTTTTAAACTATTATTTGTATCTTTTTTTCTTTTTGTAATTTTTTTGTTTTTGTAGGTGTGGATTTTAAGATAAAACATGTTACTCTTGGGGGTAAAAAGTTGAAGCTTGCAATTTGGGACACAGGTAATGAGTTGTGTTATATTGTACTTTTTCACCTTTGTATGGAGATTAAGTTTATTGTGCAACATTGTGAAGTTGTTCAATTAGGATTATGAATTGCTTGATCATATACCATTTTTGAGATTACCCAACACATTTTCCAAGTAGATGATGAGTTCTTACTATTTTGGTGGTTATATGGTTTCTACAACCTTTTGATCATGTTTTGGTATTTGGTGTTTCCTTTATATGATTACTTATATGTCATCAGAAACTGGATTACTGGGTTTGATGGTGCAGAAGTTTTTCAATTTGGTATTGTTTTCAAGTTTCACACAAATCCACTGACATAAAAAGTATTGTTCATAATGCAGCTGGACAGGAAAGGTTTAGAACTCTTACTAGTTCATATTACAGAGGAGCTCAAGGGATAATATTGGGTATGTTTGTCTCTTTCATGTTTATCCAGCACATATTTTTTCTCTTGTTAACTATATTGTTTATAGGTTAGCTGTTGTTTTAGAATCTATGGGACTTTGTACTTACTTATTGATCTGGTGCAGTGTATGATGTGACCCGAAGAGAAACATTTACGAATTTGTCTGATATATGGGCTAAAGAAATTGACCTGTACTCCACAAATCAAGATTGCATCAAGATGCTTGTTGGAAACAAAGTCGATAAGGTATGTCCTCTCTCACATTCAGTTGTTGATTATTTCATTAAGTATTGCACCAAGGTTCTAGGGCCTAGTTGGTGTTGTATATTTTATTTGTTGGATCGGATTGTTGGCGTTGATTTGGTTTTGAAGTTATCCATATTCTCTCGCGCTCATTAGACACTTAGAAGTCTTGAATCATTAGAAGAGAAAGGGAAAAGTAGGATTTCCTCGATCTTGACCTTTTCATTTTCTAATCAATCTGCCAGAGGTCCCCAAATCTATTGCAATTATTTGTATAGCCAATATGACAATTAAAAGCCTAACCATAGCTTTATAAATAAATAAGTGTAATTATTTCCTGAGTTGTAATTCTGATAAATAGAAACTAAAAGCAATCTAATTCAAGCTTGCGATCATTCCAAAGACAAAGACAAGTTTTATTCATGTATTCATCACTGGATTACTGGGTTTGATGGTGCAGAAGTTTTTCAATTTGGTATTGTTTTCAAGTTTCACACAAATCCACTGACATAAAAAGTATTGTTCATAATGCAGCTGGACAGGAAAGGTTTAGAACTCTTACTAGTTCATATTACAGAGGAGCTCAAGGGATAATATTGGGTATGTTTGTCTCTTTCATGTTTATCCAGCACATATTTTTTCTCTTGTTAACTATATTGTTTATAGGTTAGCTGTTGTTTTAGAATCTATGGGACTTTGTACTTACTTATTGATCTGGTGCAGTGTATGATGTGACCCGAAGAGAAACATTTACGAATTTGTCTGATATATGGGCTAAAGAAATTGACCTGTACTCCACAAATCAAGATTGCATCAAGATGCTTGTTGGAAACAAAGTCGATAAGGTATGTCCTCTCTCACATTCAGTTGTTGATTATTTCATTAAGTATTGCACCAAGGTTCTAGGGCCTAGTTGGTGTTGTATATTTTATTTGTTGGATCGGATTGTTGGCGTTGATTTGGTTTTGAAGTTATCCATATTCTCTCGCGCTCATTAGACACTTAGAAGTCTTGAATCATTAGAAGAGAAAGGGAAAAGTAGGATTTCCTCGATCTTGACCTTTTCATTTTCTAATCAATCTGCCAGAGGTCCCCAAATCTATTGCAATTATTTGTATAGCCAATATGACAATTAAAAGCCTAACCATAGCTTTATAAATAAATAAGTGTAATTATTTCCTGAGTTGTAATTCTGATAAATAGAAACTAAAAGCAATCTAATTCAAGCTTGCGATCATTCCAAAGACAAAGACAAGTTTTATTCATGTATTCATCATGAAGAATCCATGTTCAAGTTATCTTTTTTTTTTTTCCCCAGGAAAGTGAAAGGACTGTCAGTAAAAAAGAGGGGATGGAATTTGCAAGGGAGTATGGATGCCTTTTCCTTGAGTGTAGTGCAAAAGCTCGAGTAAATGTTGAGCAATGCTTTGAGGAGCTTGTCTTAAAGGTATGCAAAATGGTGGCGTCCCTCTTTTTTCTAAAATACTTATGATCATGAGATATCTTCTATATGGGTTCTCTGGGATGGTACTGGTTCAGATAATGGTTTGTTTTCTAGATTTGCTACCGTAATTTATGGGCACTGGGTACTTTGGAAATGATTGTTGTCACCATAATTTCATATCGCTTCATTTCTTTTCATGGCTTTGATAGTGTTGAAGTTGGTTTGTGTTTACAAGCCATTTTTCATATTAAAGTTACTATTCATAGATCAATGTCAACTTGGATGTTTGATGATTGCATTATGATAATCTGGCAGGCCAACTTATATTTTGGGTTTAGTTGGATGTTTTCTCTTGTGAATCTGTGATGATGTTATTGTACCATTTGATGCAGATATTGGAAACACCAAGTCTCCTGGCTGAGGGCTCAGCAGGTGTGAAAAAGAACATTTTCAAACAAAAACCTGCTGAATCTGATGCATCAACAAGTGGCTGTTGCTAGTGGTGATTGGATTTTGAGATTTCGACATACGTTGGCATATTACCCATTTGTCTTCTTTTTACCAAGGCTGATTCGAAATTCTCGTGTTAAATATTTAACGGAACTGTGATACAGTGATATTTGGTGTGATTTAACCTGACAATTATATATTTATAATCTCCAGAGCTGAGATTTCAGGGTTTCCGATTATTTTCTTCTTTTCCTTCGTTTCAGTTACCTCTTTCAGAATTTGAATGTGAAGCTTGATCAAACAAGTACTTCTGTGTTATAGTAATGGTTCCTGATTCTCCTATTTTAAATGTGATCAACTACATTTTGTACGTAGCATAGCAGCCTGGAAAGTGAGTGAGTTTTACACGCGCCGTATGGTAATTATCAACCGATAATTTGATAATTTGATACACCGATCAATCGGAGACATGCAATGTTATGTTCCTAGAGAGCAGCAAACTGCTCTTTTGAGTGAAATTGTAGACCAAGTTATTATACGCATCCATGCTGCGGAAGTGGCCTGTAAATCAACAATTTGTTGTTTGGCACAATTACTCAAGACCCTTATATTTGGTCGTCGTGATGCATCAGTACTATGATATCGAAATCAGAAAGCAACAAACGATAGGGTCAAGGAAACTGCATCCGTATCTCATCAAAAGAATTAAGACCTATTGAAAACCAGTGGTTACTTATATGATGGCGCAATGCCTTCTCTACTTTCTCAACCTTGCTAGCTAGAATTCAAAACCAAGTTTACAAGACTACAAACAAAACGATTCGCCAAATGGCCATCCTCTGTATGATTGGAGAAGGCAAAACACCATAAACCGAACAAACAGATAAAATGGAACCAACGCGCCTGAAGAAACTAGGTTGAATGTTCAATGGAACAGAGAGCCAAAAGCAGCATTACAATCTGCAAACAAGGTTCCACCATAATGTTATCTAGTCATCAAGCCATGGACTTTCGCTTCTCTTCCTCCAGTCGCTGCAGCTCGGTCAGTCTCTCAGCCCATGCTCTTTCCCTTGCCACAGCAGCCATTTTGTTCTCAATTCTCTTTATATTCTTCTTCCTTTTAGCCTCCTGCACTAGAGCCTTTCTTTTCTTCTTTTCTGACTGCACAACCTCAAAAGTAGTCCATATTAGAGGAAAAGCATATCTACAAAAGGGATTTCAATAAGGACTGAAATTCAAGGTAAAAATTTGTATTTTATGCAAGCGGGAGGAGGAATTAAATTCCATCCCAACCTAAGGATTGTTCCAGGCCAAAACGATTCCAAACCGTGTAAGACTATTTCATATGCCTTGGCACAATATCCTATATTCACTACCATTCTAATCTATGCAAACCAAGTAACCAGCTAACCGAAAAGAAATTATAAGACCAGCTAGAGAACTGTATCATCCAAGACAAAGAGAGCAGGAGATCTGGACAATTTTGATTTATTTTTTCAAGCAAAATCATCTCAAATATACGAATATTTGCATCACTCAATATAGCTCAAATATGTGTTATTGATTTTTATAGCGTTGAATTGCCCAATTCATTCTACTGTGTCAAGGTTTCCTCATCCAACTACCCCATCTAAATTGATTGTAAAGAACGAGCAATTTCTGAATTATTATTGTGAAACAAACAAAGTCCTCTCTATGGTAAGCTTTAACAGGAAAATTGAGCATTTTCTGAGTAAGACATGACACAGTTTGTAACTGAAATATAAAAAAATAAAATAAAATAAAATTCTCAAACAAAGAAGATAAGAATAAGTTCCCAGTTATCTTCATGACAATGTACTTAGAATTCTATTTTTGTAAAACACCCTAGCATATCTAAACCATTACAGACAACAGAAACATAATAGAGAGACGGATAAAAGAGTTCATGAAATACACACCAATATAAATGCGCGGCGCAGCCTCATGCGCTTCTTCTCATTCCTCCTCTTCACACTTCCTTCATTGGGTCTACTAGGAACTATCGGTTCACCAGGAGCACACTGAATCCCAGCATACGGTCCTGCATTCAAATAATAATGAATAATATCATGAATTTTTTATTGAAACCAAATCTCTAACTAAACTATTGCCCCAAACCGTAAATGTAAATCAACAAATTAAGCATTGGCAGCACTTGACGGCTAAGACTCTGTTTTTTCTTTCCTCAGAAACCAAACATGAAATTTCCAACAGTGCAATCATATCCAAGAGGTAATTAGTTAATAAGAGTTCACCTCAAATTAGGAGAGTCAGGTTTAGGATGAAGAAGCTACCTGGAGGTCTTATGCTGGCCCTTTTTCGACGAGACTTGAGGCTGGGTCGCCGCTTTGGGAAACGAGTATCTGTCAAGCTGTGGAAATGATTCGAAATCAGAAAAGACCACGGAGCTTGGCCACCAGAAAGGAAGCGGGTCTCAGGTTTTGGGCGAACAGAACTGGCAGCAAATGAGTTTATGGAGCATGTGGAGGTGCGGGATATTAGGGTCCGGGATAGAGGCCGCACAATGGACCTTAAGGCTCCAAATACCATCTCTTTTGATTGATTTCAAGTGTTGTTGATGAAGCTGTGATGAGTATTTTTAATTATCTGAAATCAAGTTATTCATTTTAGCGAGTTTAAACAAAACCCCTCAACTTATAACCTACTAGAAATCACCTATGAATCAAAAGCCACCCGATATTACGTCAATGCCATGATAATTCAAATACCCATAAATCAAGAACCCAGTATGATTTTGTTCATACATTCATACATTCAGTAGTGAAAATAAAAAATTTCCTGTTAAAGCACATGCCAAGTGAAAAACTCACACCACAATACACAAACCCAGATGAAATCATTTTTTTAAAATAAAAATAACTATTGATTTAAGCTGAATTTCTACACTTCCAGCAATAATGTTTGCAAAAACGGAAAAATTCCATTACCTGCAAGAACGTGAAACCCTCTGTGTGTTTAAAGCTATTGCGTTCGCTTTCCCGCAGCCAGTGTTGGGTACGTTGAGAGAGCGAAATGGTTGAGAGTAAGAAAGAGAGAGAACGGAGAGATGAAGCAGAGCTGAGCAAAAATTGGGGCCCAATGGATCAGGTCGACCATTTTGCGGACTGGGCTAAAATATAGTGGGCTGGATTAAATTCAGCTTCTTTCTGTTCTGAGGAATTAAATCTGGTTCGGTTGCATTATTGCATATACAAAGGGGATAATTTTGGCACTAAAAATCTCACATTCTACACACCTCTACCACTCACGTATACAAAGGGGGTGCCAAAATTATCACAATAATTAATCACTATGTCAATTACCTTTACACTTGGCACGAAAAATTTGTAAGACATATAAAGTTGGAATTCTCTGTATCAAGTGGGAAAAAAAAAATTATTTAGGGCACATTTCGTTTAGGCATGCAGTTTAGCTTGAATTGGTTTCACCTTTAAATCACGATCAAATTAATTAATTGTTAAGCTGTTTGGTTTTGTTTGAGCTAAAATGAGGAGAGAAGTCAAAACAAAACCACTATTTCACTGGGCTAGACCCCGTTGACCATTTACACAATTTATAAATCTAATAGTTATGTGAAATGAAATATAATAATTTTATACTTAACAAAATATCTTTTTCTGCATGTGTGGGTAGGTATAATTTTTTTAACTTTTTGCAGTCTAATTTTTAGCCAAAGTGAGACAATTAAATAAGAGTGAAAATAGTCAGACTGAAAACAATAATTTTCTAAAAATATGTGGGTGGTTTTCAGCAATCGGGCACCTTTAAATCACGATCAAATTAATTAATTGTTAAGTTGTTTGGTTTTGTTTGAGCTAAAATGAGGAGAGAAGTCAAAACAAAACCAGTATTTCACTAGGCTAGACCCCGTTGACTATTTACACAATTTATAAATCTAATAGTTATGTGAAATGAAATATAACAATTTTATACTTAACAAAATATCTTTTTCTGCATGTGTGGGTAGGTATAAATTTTTTAACTTTTTGCAGTCTAATTTTTAGCCAAAGCGAGACAATTAAATAAGAGTGAAAATAGTCAGACTGAAAACAATAATTTTCTAAAAATATGTGGGTGGTTTTCAGCAATCGGGTGGGTGTGACATTAAAATTCCCCTTGGTAATGGTGAGTAAGTCATCAGATTCATCACTGTCTTTTTCAGTCTTTGTAAAACAACCTCTCTCTTCTATATGCAACAAACAACACGACCAAAACAAAACATGGCAACATCATGAGCACAACTACACAAGACTCTGATACCACCACAAGCACCACTGCCTCTGCAGCAGCCTCTTCTGAGGCCGCCCTTGAAGAGGCCCCACCACAACCACCACCAGCTGCTGCTGCTGCTGCATCAGAAAAACCAGAGCCTCTCATGTTCTCCAAGGATCCAAATGCCCTTGAAAGCGGTGGTGGGATCAGGTGAGGTTCCTTCTCGTTTTTCATAAACCCGATTCTTACTATTTTTGTTTATAAAATTTATTTACTTATTTTTCATAATTGCTTGGTTGTTTTTGATGGGTCACTCTTTGTTTTTATTGGGATCGCTTCCTGTCTCTGAAAACATATCTATGTGGTTTCCTTTTGATCAGTTGAGGTGTTTCTTGTGACTGACTGAGGATTGAGTAATATGGTTGTGGTTGTTCTTATTGGTTTCATTTGTTTAAGATCTTTTTATAAATCTTGGGAATTCTTTCTTTCGAACCCAAGAGGGTGTTTCCATTGGGTTTCAAAAAAATTATTTTTAATGTTTTAACACTCTTTAAATTCCACTTTTGTCTCCTGATAACCTGTTAATGTTTTATAATTCCTCTACAAAGATTGTTAGCTGATGAATGGAAATGAAGATTATAATTGAGTTATTGTCTTACAGTTTGAAATTCAGTGCAATCTTTGAAGTTGTTGAACAACATTGAAAAGAGAAGAAGTTAGTTTCAAACCTCGGAGTTTTGTGACATTGGTTAGGTTTTGTTGGACCTGGGGCTTGCACTAGGTAGTACTTAGGCACACACGGCCAATGAGTTCACTCTTGAGTAGTTGATTATGGCTATCATGCAATTTCCCTTACATTTAACCTTGTTTCAGTGGAGCTATTTGAACATACATCAATCTAAATAAATTAAAATATGCACCAATCCTGTGATCGCTATGTTGTTCAGCTTAGTCAAAGTGATCACATAAGGAAAATGCTGAGGTTGTTTATATTTTGGTTGGGATTGAGTTATATGTTAGTATGATCTTTGACTCGAACGTGTGATTCTGTTTTCGTAATGTTTGTTGTGCTTTCACTGTTTCAAAGTATTGTTTTACTTTAAATATGACTTGGATGGGTGATATTATAGTTTCACAAGATATTTCATCAGCCTTTGCTAAAGGAGCCATTCTGCAGTGTATTTGGTATCAAAATCCTGATAATTGTAATTTTCATATGTTATGTGGACAACCTAATTGTTTTTCTTCTCTTTTTCTGTTAGCTTTCTCACTGGGAGCCGTAATGCAAAGTTCAGCTATGGATTTTCCAGTTTCAAGGGTAAAAGGCCTTCGATGGAGGATTATTTTGAGGCAAATATATCTGACGTTGATGGCCAGATGGTTGCATTTTTTGGTGTTTTTGATGGTACAATACAAGTTTCTATCACCTATCCCTTGTAGCATGTTCTCTCATCAAGCTCAGAGTGTCAGAAACTATAGGCTGATGGTGTTTTATTTCTGCTTCTTCACATATTCCATTTGTTTAGGTTGTCCATCTTGATGGTTAATGTATACTAATGACGAAAAATAAAGTTAGGAAGAATATAGATGGTTGCTTAACAACCGCCCCTTGTCTCACTCTCTCTCTCTTCTTCTGTATTGATGGATTTTGTGCTCATTTGTTCAGGTCATGGAGGTTCAAGGACTGCAGAATATCTAAAAAAGAACCTTTTCAAAAATTTGAGTAGCCACCCAGATTTTATCAAAGACACAAAGGCAGCTATTGGTATGAAGTGAGCTATTTCTTTTCCTTCTGTTTGCCCATTGAATTCATTGTTTCATGTTAAACTTTCTTCCCTGTGATCATGAGGCATGAGGCAGATCTGTGTTTATGACTGCAGTTGAAGTATTTAAACAGACAGATGTTGATTACCTTAATGAGGAGAAGGGTTATCAGAGAGACGCTGGCTCAACTGCATCAACCGCCTTGCTATTAGGTGATCGGCTTTTTGTTGCAAATGTTGGTGATTCAAGAGTAGTCGGCTGCAGAGCTGGTTCAGGTTACTGTCTTCTCTGCTAGGGGTGGGACTTATGGGGTTATAAGAGCTATAAACTGTATAATGCAAAAAAATTCAGGGCAATAACAAAAATTACTGAACAAAAAAGCTTAGTTTGGTTAATGTCCTTGTCATATTCTGTCTACTTTTAATGACTCAATAAGTTAAGGACAAGCCTTGTCAGGATACATTAAGTTAACATACTAGTTTTTGTTTTTTCCTTTTTAATCAAAGTATATGCAAATAACTTTTTCTTTTTCTTTTCTACTGAATAGTTGTGAAATCATATATTGTGTTTCACTGTAGCTATTCCCTTGTCCGTTGATCATAAACCTGATAGATCTGATGAACGCCAAAGAATTGAAGAGGCTGGAGGTTTCATTATTTGGGCAGGTAAGCTACATTTTCTTGAGTGTATAGTTTCAATTGGTCTATGTGATGTATACTTTTATAGTGGTAAGGCGGCATTTTCCCAACATTTGTGGCACCTGTTGATTATGGCATTAATTACAATGACTAGAACTTCAATCAGTAACTTATATTTGTAAATATTTTTCCTGGATTGCCATAAATGAAGTTGACTTTTTAATTTTAACCCTTTATGACTCAAGTGTATCATCTGATATAGTAATAACACATGCATGATAAACAATTATAAAAAATTAGAAAAAAGCTGCCAAAACCAAGCCATTTGAATGGTGGATTTTATTTTACAGATAGAGCTTTTTACTCATTCCCATCCTTTGCTCCCTTTCTGGGATTACATCAGTTATCTTCTATCTTGTAGTACTATCGACAAACTAATGAAATATCTGACAGAAATGTTCTCTTATTTAGGTTCAGAAAAGAATATTGTCCAGCTGTGGGACTGCAGGCTAAGATTATCACCCTGTAATTGTACTAATATTGTTGAGAATATAGAATCTTTTGTCATGAGTTCATAGCCTTGCATGACTGAATATAATATCCTGGGTGTCTCCACCCATAGCCAACTGGTTTTGGGTTGATGCTTTAACTTCAACATAGTATCAGTGCTGGAAATCCACTTGTTAGGCCTAACAGTCACATATGCCCAGGTCACCCAATATAATTGATCCATGTGTTTGGTTCAGTCACGCCAGGGGCGTCTAGAGAATAGAGAATCTCACATCAAGAATCCATTGCCTTGCATGACAATATGTAATATCTTGGCCTCTAATCCCATTGCCTATTGGTTTGGATTAGATGCTCCCAACTTTAACAAATATCATATGTGCCCAAGAGCAGCCTAGTTAATTTTTCCCAACTTCCGTCCTTTGATGCAAGTTGTCTCTGTATGTTGCTCCGCTTATCTATGCGTGCCAGATTATACAATGTGATTGCTTTACCTTTTTCCATACTAATTTGTTAACTATATAATTATCTATAATGAAAACATAACAGTGATGAATACAGAATTATCCTATCTATCGGTTATACACACTGATGGATCTCTAATCATTCTATCTATCTCTATAAAATCCAGATCGGATACTTTTTTATGTTCTTTAACATCAGTGTTCCCGGATGACCTGTGCATAAGTCTGGAAACAATTTCAATCCCAAACTTATGCTTTGTGTTGTTAAACTTGCCAGGAACATGGCGGGTTGGAGGTGTTCTTGCCGTTTCCCGTGCATTTGGAGACAAAGTACTGAAACCATTTGTTGTTGCAGAGCCAGAAATTCAGGTAATCTGAAATCATAAGCTGGCTACTCACTTTCTGTCTTTGTGTTTACACATATACCTCTATGTGTGTGTATCTGTTCATATGCTTATCTTTCACTCTTATGCTTAGGAAGAAGAAATTGATGGAGTAGACTTTATAATTATTGCAAGCGATGGACTTTGGAATGTCATATCAAATAAGGTGAGTGCATGTATTGAATGAATTACATTGCTCTTAGATAAGGAAATTTTTGAAATTTTCATCTTAAACTGTTGAAAGAGATATTACGGGTCTTAGTATATACAGCATGTGACTGTCACCATATCTATCATTTGGCTTAGTTAGTAAAAGTGTAATTTTTCTCTTCTGTGTATGGGCGTATATCAACTGCAAGTGAGTCACTCAGATCCTTGAGAACAGCCATTTCATGCAATGCCAACCTAATTTCCCCTCCTAGGACATTGTCTTGATGGAACCAATACTGATTGATGGTGTATTTTCTATTAAATTGCCTTTAAAAGTTGGCATTATGTGGTTGTTGATGTCTTACTGTGGGGCATTATTGGTCACTTTGATTGCAACCCTAGGCTTCTTGTGATGATGACTAGATGATCTAGCCAGCCATTTGGAATGGTACAGATCTTATCATGTACCATGATTTATTCTCTCATAAATACTGGTACAAATGCGAGTTGTGCATAAATAAAAGCGTGCATCATATCATGTGATTTGATTAGCACTTAAAGCTGGAAAAAGGTACTTGTCTTAGCTTAGAAACTAAGATCTTGCACGTATTACTTAAATGGTCAGTAAGCTCTTCCATTGTAACTCCACCATTCTAGAGAAAGATATAACAGTTCCAGGTTGTGGATTGGTCTGGGAATCTATTTTGAGGGACTTGATTGCTACTGGGTTCCCATTCTACATGCATGCCTTACACTTCCTTGGATTATAAATAATCCTTACCACAAGAATTACACTTACATCTACGTACACTGGGATCACAATTTTCAATTTCAATGATATATATGGTTAATGGTTGCCTAGATAACTTCCTCTTCTTACCACCCATGCTGGGTGGAGGACATGAGATTGACATTTACCTCTTGTGGTGGTCTCCACAAAATTATCATGAGCTATTGAATTCTCATCCATCAAAACCAAACATTTTGTGCAAGAAACCTGTGTGCAAGAGCCTTCAAACATTGGAACTCAAACTAAAATGTTGAAATCTAAGAAAATAGAAAACTAAACTAAAATTATAAATCAAATTTGTGTGCCAAACCCTTCAACTTTGTTGTTGAAGGATGTATATTTTACTGCTTAGAACTTTGAGTTTTGCTGGCATTTCAAACTCGTGAATCCGCTTTCTATGCACCAAAATTTGAAGTTAGACTATCTTCTCTATATCTCAGATCCCTGTTCGTAATGGAATTTCTTAAAATCTTAAAGTGTAGTATCTTCTATTTCCAGGATGCTGTGGCTTTAGTGCAGGACATAGCAGACGCAGAAGAAGCATCTAGAAAACTCATCCAAGAGGCTTTTGCACGCGGTAGCTCAGACAACATAACTTGTGTTGTTGTCCAATTTGATATTTCAGAGTAGACTCGTTCATATTCCAAGGTAAATGTTGAGTTAATGGTATGTGTATATGTGTGTAGATTTATATAGCAACACATGCACATGCATGCATGCGTACTACATATACACACACATGGAATTTCGTTACTAGTTGTTAAGCATTTTGATTTTGCAGGTTCAGCTTACTTATTAAAACGGCATCCAAGCAATGTGGAAAGACTATTGAGGCAATAGTTTCCTGAAATTGTCTTTAAGTAATTAGTGTATTGGGCTGACAGCTCAGTTTTCAAGTTGTAAGTCCTGAACTCCTGGTTGTCACCACAACCCGTAGTGAATTGTCAATTGTTGCTTCAATGTAGTTTTGAATTTGAGTTCCTTCTTTTTGTTGTGAAAATGAAAGCTTGGATGCCTTTCAAATGGCCACATCCAAAAAGAAGGAAAAACCTGTGTGTGTTTTTGTGTGTTTTGTATCTCTGTCTTCAAGGACTGGTTATTGAGGATTGACAAATGATACGAGTTCATACAGGTGCTCGACCTGGTACATACCGAAGTCGAAGCATGTCATACTTCTTTTTGGTTTAGTTTGACGGGTATTTGAGATGATGATTAGTCTAATTGCTGATCAGGTGACATGATTAGTCTAATACTTGCATCCAATCCAATGGTTGACCTTGTATTAAATTGATGGCCAAAAGAGTTGATGTTGAATTCAACCAAAGAAATGTTTGTAAACTAGGATAAGGATAGGAAACTTGTCTGCGTTGGTTGTGAAATGCGATGTGATGGCTGTTCTTTCCCCTTCCAAAATTAGAATCCATGAGTTTCTCGGCTTAAATTGCCGCCAGCAGTTGGTTCACTTAATATATGCGAAAAGGAAACAGCCAAGAGTTCAGCAAACCGACTTGAAACACAAGAAAATCAAAATGCCCATGAAATATGAGTGCTTCAAATTTTCATTATTGTTAGGCAGAATTAAGCGAGTAAAATAGCATGGTAGTTTGTCACGTCCAGCAGGATCATTTCCTTCAATTCCTTTGGTAGTTTAGATTGGTCTAAGATAACATTCACCCAAGTCCACAAAGGTAACCTCCATTTTCAAACATTCTTAACATAGCTCTTTTTCCCTTCAATTCAGGTGCTGATGTTTTATTTCATTACGAGTTCGAATTTAATTAGTATTTACTTTCAAGTGATCTAACAAGTAACGAGTGATGAACTTGTAAAATGTATATACATATGTTACATGTAAGTCTTTCTCATATCGTGATATGAAAAGAAAAAGTTAAGTGAAGGAGCATCGTGGAGTAGTTGTATGATTGCACGGAGTCCCTCAAACAGTAGAGGCCTTGTTGTATGATTACTCGCCTTTTATGTAAGGTGTTTTACATTTTATTTTGGTTATTTTTTCAATATAAACTCTAAATATCAAACCTTATACTCTATAAGGTTTGATTTTATATTTCTAAAACCATATGGAAACTTTACAAACAAAAGTAATATCAGTAAATAATTTTGAGGTTCCTCTATCATGAAAGTTGCCTAATGCCTACCTCTTTTATTATTTTTTTAAATGTAAAATTTTAATTAAAAAATTACAAAACAATGTTTTTAAAGTGTTAGTTTCCAAATGTTTACAATTATTCATCTCCTCCATAACTCATGGTTTAACAATATAATACAAAAACAAAAGAGAATCCTTGAATTCATAGTAAACACTTCAATTATGAGTGATTTAAAAATAAAAGAAGCAGATAGAGTATATCAAATTGTTAAGAGGATATGATAGAATCTCCCCTTCATGGGGAATTAGATTATAGAGGCACATGGAAAAGTAAGTGGGTCCTAAACTTAAATAAAAACACTATTTGGGCCCATGTGAAAAAGCCCGGACTAAAGCAGAACCTGGCCTCACACACGGACCCACAGTAGAAAAAGAGGCCCACAACAGCAAAGAACCCAACCCAGTGAGACAGTGACATTTCTGGAACTTAAAAATTGAAAGGCAGTTGAAAATAATGTCACTTCAAGTTCGTGAACTTAGACATGATTTGTATTTTGGTTCTCCAATTCGCAAAATGATTGTTGTAGTCTTGAAATTCCATTTTCATTAGCAGTGTTGATCGTGCAGTCAGATTTGTTGAATTTTATGTTACATTTAGGGGTAAAAAAGGATCAACACTGATAACGAAAGTGAAGTTTAGAACAAAAATATTTTACAAAATCAAGGACCAAAATACAAGTCGGGTCTAAGTTCAGGACTACTGCAAGTAAAAAGCCATATGATATAATAGAAAAAGTATGCAGATGCCAATCCCCCATCATAATAAGCGCCACCATGGGGACACTTAAAAAAAGGAGAACTGTTGTGCTCCCGCGAAAAAGTAGTTTTCTAGCCTTTGTTTATTCCTCTGTGGAACTGGAAAGGCAAGTCTGCAACTCACTCAGTCCACACCAATCTCTCTCTCTCTTCTTTTTGTGAGCTTAATTTTCACATTCAGCTGAGCTCTGGGAGATTCTTCAGGCAAAAGCAACTAATTAAGCAAGAATGGTGAAGGAAACTGAGTTCTATGATGTCCTCAGCGTCAGTCCCTCAGCTTCTGAGGAAGAAATTCGCAAGGCTTATTATATTAAGGTTCATTCTTTGATATCTAATTTTCTTAATTTGATAACTTTGATAATGTTGTACATTTATTACTAGTTTTGAATTTGGTTTTTTATTTTTATTTGTATAATTTCAAGTGCTGATCATCATTCTCTTTCTCAGTTGTTTTTTGGTGCATTGGTAGGATCACATACAAGAATGAATAAATTGAAATATAATAAACATATCTTGGTGGTAGATCCTGATTGACTGGTTACCTTTTGTTTTGTTTTTTTGGGTCCAATTGGAAACATTAAAGATTGAGAATTGTAGAATGGGAATTTGATTGAGTTTCAGAAAAGTATGAATATTTAATTGTTAAATTGTTAAGGGACCTGAATCGCCTAGTGTTCTTTGATTACTCATACCGTCATCTTTACCATATTTCTTACTATCATGCAGGGGTTTATGATTTATTTTGTTCAAATCTTGGTGAACTAATGCACCTTTGTATTCTGAACTTTTCTATATACTAGTAAACTTTTCTGTGTTTGAAATTCAAGTATCTGATATGGAAAGGCTAATATTGGTGCAGGCAAGGCAAGTTCATCCGGACAAAAATCCAAACGATCCTCTAGCTGCTGAAAGATTTCAGGCAAGTCCACTAATTCTAATCCTTCTTTTTATCGTTTGTTTATCGCTTTTCGAGGTAAAGAAAGTTTCAGTCCTCTTATGAATCAAATGGAGCCTTGCTCTGTCATTTTGTTTTTTAATCTCTGGAAATGGGTTGCTGCATATTAGTTTTCATGAAGACATAGGATGTGTGTTTGTTCTCTTACCTTGAGGTTTAATAAAAAAATCTTCTTGTTACCAGGCACTAGGTGAAGCTTATCAAGTTTTGAGTGATCCAGTGCAAAGAGATGCATATGATCGAAATGGAAAGTATTGCATATCTAGGTACAAATACTTATATTTGACATTTGCTTATGCTCGTATGCGCACGCACATACACGCAGATATCTAGGTCATCCTATTACAGCTTTTGTTACTTGAGATCTTTCTCATATAAAGAAAATGAATTATGATATAACTGCAGATAAATTATACTGCTCCCAATCCTTCTGTCTTGCCATTAGCCATCTAAACACATTCTTGACATAAATTTTGGCTTCATTTCATGAATTTGATTTCTGACATTCTACTGGACCAACTTACCTTTGCATAATGTAAAATTCTAAAGCCCTTGTAGGGAAAAAAAATCCATAGTTGCGAAAGACTTTGTTGTTTGGAAACTTTCTCTACCCTATTTGATTTGTCTATGTGCAACGCAAGTTGATAGTTTTGTTGTTATATCATTATGAATTTAAGTTGTGCATTAATCTTGTTCTTAGAATATTTTTTTCCTGATATCCTAATAAGTCAGTGTTTTTCTTTGAAGGGAAACCATGCTTGACCCCACAGCTGTCTTTGCTTTTCTTTTCGGAAGTGAATTATTTGAGGACTACATAGGACATCTAGCTGTAGCATCAATGGCCTCTTCTCAATTAGCTGGTGAAGGTGACAGCCCTGAGAAAGTGCATGATAAATTGAAGGCAAGTAAATTCCAGAACTCATTAAATTAAATACCAGTATCTTTCTCTTTAGCGAGGCATGCTGTTCATTGTGCTCGTGTTCGTGAATAAAATGGAATATAAAGGTCTGGCACAGGCTCACAATACATACTCATAAAATTACTCGGGGCGGAAGGGTTGCAGAACTTCTGCTCCCATAAGGAGACTCAGTCTGGTTCTACCACTATTTGACCATTTCTCTTATGTTTTAAATAATAAGTATATTTCAGACAATCTTTTGGGTATTGTGGTTGTCTGCTAGAGCACATTTGCTGCTTTTCAGATTTTCATGTCTCAATGTCTACTTCTATTGAATGTAACCATTGAGATTACCTAGGTGTGACTTTAACTTGATATCATCGTTTCCTCAAATTTTTATCCACTTGGTTCATTTCCTTTAACCTATAACAGCATCCATAGTATGGATTTATTTTTGCAGGCTGTCCAGAAAGAAAGAGAAGAAAAGCTAGCAAAATCACTCAAAGATTTTCTTAATCAATATGTTCAAGGTGACAAAGAGGGATTCTTACAGCATGCTGAATCTGAAGCTAGACGACTTTCTGATGCAGGTCAACTAATTTGCATCTGGCCTGTTTATGATTTCAGTAACCAGTAATGAACCCATGGGACAAATGTTGCAAATAGAAAGTCTAAGTGTTTTAAAATTTGCACAAGAACTTTGTATCACTTCAAATGCTGTGACCATACTCATAGCTCAAAAGATTTATACCACCTGAATTGAAAGATTCCTCATGGTTTACAACTTCAATTATCTTCAGGAATTACCAAAGATTTAAAATCTATAAAAAATAGGGCACATATAGTACAGGGAATTTCTTGAAATTCTCCCTGTCTTTTCCTTTGAGTACTCTGTAATCTGCTTCATGCTTGATATCAGCATAATGTATAAGATGTACTTAAAGATTATCGATATATCTTCACATGACGTTTTTAAAATAATGCACTTCATAGTAGTTGATGTTGCAGCTTCATTTACTTTGATTATGTTTGAGCTGTTCTGCCTGATATATGTTAGCAATTTTAGTGCTTGAGTTTAAGTAGATATACTGGTAAAGTTTTAACTGAGAAATTAAAAAGAAACTGTATCTTATTTATTCTTCATGACGCCACTCTAATGTCAAATATCAGAGAACATCAATAAATCCTTGAGGAGATAGTTGTGCTAGGAACTTTAATAACAGCTTCTAGCTCCTAATAATCATATATCGAACCTAATTTTTATGACAACAAAGGGATGAGTTACTGAAACTGATAGGACTTAAAATTTTGTATGCTTTGTCAAATACAACAGACTTTGATTCTTGTAGGCATAAATTATTGACTTGTATTTGCTCATATGACACCCCATCTGTTCTTTGGCTTCACAAATTTATGTAATTGTGACAATATGTAGTAGCGTGGACTTCGTAATTTTCATGAAAAAATTAATGATGCATTAGCCTGTCACTACTTGACACTTGTGCACGCTAAACTTTCTGCTCTTTCTCAATTGCAGCCTTTGGAATTGAAATGCTACACACTATTGGCTATGTATATTCAAGACAAGCAGCACAAGAGCTTGGAAAGAAAACCATATTCCTAGGAGTACCATTTTTGGCTGAGTGGGTACGGAATAAGGGACATTTCTGGAAGTCACAGATGACTGCTGCAAAAGGTTTGCATATAATCATCCAGGACTCTGCCCCTCATTCAGTGTTAATGTCTTGTTTTCTACAGGGAAATTTAATTCCTCTTTTCACCTAATTATATCTGGAAAAAAATGAATTCAGGTGCTTTTCAGTTGCTCCAACTTCAAGAAGAAATCCGTCGGCAATTTAAAATGGATGGAAGTGGCCCTGAAAATGATGTCGAATCACATATACGCTTAAACAAAGACACACTTTTGAACTCATTGTGGAAATTGAATGTGGTGGACATTGAAGTAACTCTCATGCATGTTTGTCAAATGGTTAGTGACTTCTCACAATCAACAGAAAACCTTTCTTTTTCATGAAACTGGTTTTGCTTGAGATCCTTCTCATGATTCCAAAATTTGGTTTCAGGTTCTACGGGAAAATAATGTTAGAAAAGATGAACTTAAAGCTCGTGCTCTGGCGCTCAAACACCTTGGAAGGATATTTCAGGTGTGCAGTCACGATTTATGCAAAATCTTGTAGAGGAACATTTCTTGTTTATTGCATTTTGGCGCATTCTTCATCTTGAGTATAAACTTGAATGCAAAGGCTCTGCATGCCCATTTTAGTATTTCCTTATTAATTTTGGATGACGATTTTCACACATCATTCAGTCCCATTTACATTCCTCCCTCTTATTTTTGTGCTTTGGTAACTGCATAAACAAAAGGAGAATCAAAGCATGAAAACAAATCTTTTTAAGTGATGACCTGCAGACTCTAAATACAAATTTTTCTGGTTTTAGGAGGAAAAGCAGACACGAAATGGTGGAACTTCAAGAAGGAAAAGTTCTGCTGACACAGACGACGATGGGAGCAGTTCCTATAGCAGTTCTGAAGAGGATTCACCACGACCACTTTCATATAGAACTCCTTTTCTCACTCAGGCATGTTATAAGATTCTATACACCTAATGAAATATACCGAATCAAGCTAACCGGTTAATGTAGCTGATGTGTTCCTTTGCCTTCTTCCCTGGCAGGGTATTGGCAGGCTCTTCAGATGCCTTTGCAATCCAGCATTTGATGTTGATGACGAAGAGATTGTGTACAAAAGCAAATGATATCCAATGCATGAGATTGTATGTAAAAGAAGGCAAAGTTGACAAGCGTACGTGAGATGGCAAAGCATATATATAAGTTGTAACAAAGGATGAAAGCTGTCGTGGTAAATGGAGGATTTTGTTATATTCATGCTAGAGAATGGCGCAAGCCAGTGTCGTGTGTCAAAATGTATTTATTCATTGCCCTCATTATTGTGGGGATAAAACAAGGCTAAGTGCCTTAATTTGTGTAGTGCCATAAAACAAGGCTAAGTGCCTTAATTTGTGTAGTGCCATAAAACATTCATGCTAGAGAATGGCGCAAGCCAGTGTCGTGTGTCAAAATGTATTTATTCATTGCCCTCATTATTGTGGAACAGTTCCATTTTCAAATATGTTCAATTTTTACAGTGATATATATGTATTCGGAAACGTCATATTCATATATATTGTTCACAACAACGAAGCTTTCTCTTCAATTTCAGACTCTCTTTAGAGTCTTCCACGTGGACGAGGGCGAATATATCTTGTAAACAGATGTGAGAAATATAAGCATGATTATCACTTCGTCAGTATAGTGTTTTCTAGAAACACTCTGCACGTCTATTTCTGTTTTGTTACAATTAGATTTCTGAATGGATTGCGATTTGTCTAATTATATTTTTATTTTATCACAATTATATTTCTGAATGGATTCCTGCTTATTTGCAAAGATGCTGTTTTCATTTAAATACAATACGAAGTAGACTTCATCTCCCCATCAATCTCCTATTATTTACTTGACTATATATATTATTGGTTGAGATTTTCAATTTCATAAACAAATTAACCCGAGAGAGATGAAGAGTGAGAGTCTGTTCTGTTGCTTCAAAGGAAAGCAAGCTCAATGCAAAAAAGGAGGCAAGAGAGAGCAAAACAAAGAGTACAGAAGCCAAAGGACCAGTTGCTGCAATAATATTGGGTGGCAGACACTGCCTGACGATATCATGGAGATTATTTTAAAGCACTTGAATTTAAGAGAGCGTATACGCTTAACAATCATCTGCAAGTCTTGGAACTCTCTTGCTATGCGAAGAGACTTTTCTAATGCTCCACAACTACCTTGGTTACTGCTCCCTCAGGCCTCCAATAAGTACTTGAGTTTTTCCAGTGTCTCAGATGGCAAGTTTCACACATTGAGGCTACCTAAGCCGGTTCGAGGAGGGCGGGTTTGTGGTTGTTCTAAAGGATGGTTGGTTATGATCAAAGAAAAAGTATTGAACTCCAAACTGTATCTCATAAACCCAATTTCAAGAGACCAACACCAACTTCCATCTTTGAGAACAATTCCATCTTTCCATAAGTTTGTAAACACAAACAAGTCGAAACGTGGCGGTGCCTTGCTTTTCTGTACTTTATTCGCGTTATCTACGTCGGATGTTAAATCAAAGAACTGTATTGTTGCAGCAGTTTTTGATGAGTTGACGTTGGGTTTATGCAGACCTGGAGACAAAACATGGAGTGTCTTCCATGTATTAGATGAAAACGAACATCTTACTACAATATTGTTTTCTTCTTCCGGTATGCTATACGCCTTGGTTTCTTCTTCCGGTAAGAATGGCATCGTTGTTGCGTCTCACAGCTTAAACTTTGGAGATGATACAGTGAAAATTAAATTGGTCTATGACAAAATAGAAAGCAGAAGGGATTTAAATACAAGCATTGAGTATCGTGATGGCTACCAGATCGTGTTGAAAGGAATGTACACCTATCATTTGTTACAATCAGCAACAAATAATGAAGTCTTCGTGATCCATCAAATACAAGATTGCTTTTCAAGAAGGGATGGTGATTTCGAGGAGGAGGACGAGAATGAGGAGGAAGGGACTGATGATGAGGATGAGGACGAGGACGAGGAAGAGATTGATGATGAGGAAGGGACTGATGATGAGGATGAGGACGAGGACGAGGAAGAGATTGATGATGAGGAAGAGACTGATAATGAGGATGAGGGTGATGAGGAAGAGGAGGAAGATAACAATAACGATGATCAAGATGAAGAAGTTAATAATGATGAATTTCACCACACCGATATTGCTTCTGAAGATGCATCTGGCCTTAAACCATATTTGAGGACAAGTGAGTTTAGAGTATACAAGCTTGACCAAGAGAATGGCAACTTTGACAGGGTACAATGTTTGGGGGACAACCAACTATTCTTTTGCTCTGATGCTGAATGCGTGTCCCTGCATCCAGCTAGTAATATCCAAGGGTTTGACGGAAATTGCATTTATTTTGCAACAAACGCCATATGGAGGTTACATTCTTTAGAATATACATCTCGTGAGATTGGTGTATTCTACCTAGATTCTAGGAGAATTGAGCGACCCTTTCCAAGTATTAATTTGTCAGTACTGACCAAACTCACTTGGTTAACTCCAAGTTTATAGTTTTTTCCAACTAGGGCTATATGTATTCATAAGCTCCCTTGCCATCCAGAAAAATAAAACAAAGACAAATGACATGAAATTTCTTTACTTTCTTTTTTAATACAAAACAATATGTACATCTTTTCGTAAAAAAGTCACAATTTTTCAATTCCAAGTTTTCAACTAGCAAAAATCGTCTTACGCCACCACTCTGATTACATGCCAAGTTTTCAATTCAAACATAAAGAGAGAGAGTACAAGAATTTCAATGTTTAAGTCCTCATTTAAGTACACCGTTTTCAACCTCTAACCCATTGCAGGTATCCAGATGGGCTTGCTCGTCAAACTCTTAAATATTAGCACACCTACAAAAATATAACAAACCTTGCACAGCATCAACCTCAGAGAGAGAACTAGAGGCCAAGTGCTGAGAGAAGTTCGCGCCATCTTGGAGTTTCTTCATAAAAAATGTAGGTCAAAGAGGAAACTAGAACCCCGCTGCCTCCAATCTGCACTATAGTAGATTAAACCCCAGTATCCAAGGAAAGGAAAATCTTAAATGAAACGTGGCCCTAGATTTAATAATAAAATACACCTTTGTGTACAAGAGGCAGGCACAATGACATCTGCAGAGAAACTCCACATCCAAGGTTTAAACCAGTTCTAATTTTAGAACCATTGTTCCAGCATATTTAAAAAATGACCAACTGAAAACTAGAAACCAGTTCAAACCAATGTTCCTTTGTCATTGTGAAACAAACAAAGGGCAGGTGGCATGTCATGTTTGTCAATTAACCAACCAAACAAGAGCATTTTGTTGTGCACAAAATAAACAAACTAGAGAAGCTCCTAGCCAATTCAAAATATTTTTCTAGTCCCCACAATATTTAAAAAATAATAATGACGAAACTAAACCTCTGATTGAACAGTCCAACTGCCATCCTCTGACTTATTATTTAATTGTTTCTTTTATATACTGTAAAGATAAATACATAAGCCAGAAGAATTTCGCTGCATGAATGTGAGGGTGCTGGTCAACAGAACAAGCACTCTCATAGCATTTTACATAACATTGAACAATGCTTATAATATATTATCATGGCAGACCTGTAGAGCGCCTTTTTGGGTACGCACATGACTATGGCATAGTAATCAGAAGCAATTTGCCCATCACGTTTGCTAAAAACTGGACTTATGGTGGGTCCCTGCATGTGTTACCATTTAGATTATTTAGAAACTCATCAAAGTGAAAAAAGGGTCAGTATATCACCATAGAAGACCAGTTATTAGTGTATACTGCGACTTGAACTTAAGGTTCATGGTTAGAGAGTGATGCTTCATTTCAAACCTCACCTGCAAACCTGATAATGATGGCTGGCTCAAGACACGCTCAGCCACTTCCTCTGCACTACTTCCTCTCATATTTGCAGTTACCTGTTATGAATGCATGAAAAGAAAATTTAAAAAGTATGGGAAAAAAAATCCTGAAGGTACAAAAATAGGTTTTCAGATACGCACCGTGAACTGACCCTCAGCCCTTAGATGCGCCTCCAATCTTTCAAGAATCTCATGTGTCATGTCCAGTGCACTTTTCCTTTAGATCAACGATCTCTTGCTTGCAACAAGAACTGCCTAAAGAAAATCTAATTACAAGCATAAGACAAGATATCGATGTTGTGAATTGAGAACAAACTCAACTCACCCTCCCCTAATGATCTTGTTGTTGATGGACTTTGTGACAAACATAATTATGGATGAATCACACACACTACACTTGAGAAACCAACCGAGCACAAAATGACACAAGAATTTATAGAGGTTCAGCAATTGCCTACATCCTCTTGGTGATCCCCTTGAGAAATTCACTAATGAAAGAATAAGTTACAACTTTGGTTTACAAAGAAACCCCCTTAGAACTCTATTCTCTCCCCAAGCTCTCTTTTCTCTCTCACCCCTTGCTCTACACTTTGATACACTAGAGAACTCTTAAGCCATGATTTACTTCTTGCATGCTAAACCCCTTTATATAGCCAAATATGCAAGAGTGTGAATGCAACCTCACACTATTCAAATGTTGGCTACCAAACTTAACCATGGATGGCTACCAAACATTCCACCATTTTGTGCCACCAAACAAGTCACCTATTTTTGACAAAGATGGCAAGCCAATATTTACTCACATGGGCAACTCCAAAATTCTTCTAGAAATGAGTCAACCATGTCATGGAATTTAGGTAGAAATCCATAGCACACAAAAGAGGACTTTGTATCCTTAGGTGAGCCAATCACCTGCAAACCTGATAATGATGGCTGGCTCAAGACACGCTCAGCCACTTCCTCTGCACTACTTCCTCTCATATTTGCAGTTACCTGTTATGAATGCATGAAAAGAAAATTTAAAAAGTATGGGAAAAAAAATCCTGAAGGTACAAAAATAGGTTTTCAGATACGCACCGTGAACTGACCCTCAGCCCTTAGATGCGCCTCCAATCTTTCAAGAATCTCATGTGTCGTGTCCAGTGCACTTTTCCTTTTGATCAACGATCTCTTGCTTGCAACAAGAACTGCCTAAAGAAAATCTAATTACAAGCATAAGACGATATGGAAAGAGCAGGCAGTTGAACAAGCTCCTTCTAAGTAGCATGCTTAAACCTACAAGATCACATGCTAGGTAAGATGAGCCATAAAGCAAGAACCTTACCTGGCTTCACAACACAACTCCCCCCTCAATCCCTTTCAAGTTGATTTCTTTCAGTGTGGTCCCACTACTCACAAGGTCCAAAATTGCATCAGCTATCCCCATCTAAATTCAAAAGAGAGACAGGTGGCAATTAATTATTTTCTACTTTTATTGATAAGTATTATAAAAAAAAAAACCTAGCTTCAAATGCCAAGGTCAACAACACCACATCAAACTAGATTGAACAAAGATTGAAGACCATCCCCATGAAACAACTAGGTAACAAAAGAGTCATTTGAATGTATGGTCATCTAGAACTTAAGCATGGATTCAGTCTCTTCAAGAAATATCATAATATTAACTGCAGCAGCTAGAATCCAGCAGAGTTCTGGACTAGTATAACGTTGAATGAGACGACTTATAGGTTACATATTGATACATAGAATTATTTGAAACAAAATACTTTGAAACGAAAACTAGACGATAAAAACCAATAGCCTATGTTTCTCCTCGAAAGGAATCAGGAAACAATAAATTGAAGATATCGTTAATCATGATACTGTTTCCCTCTTTTCGGCCACATCCAAACAGATACATATACTGGGAAATATGCATCATGCTTTATATTATGCTGAGAGAAATGCAACTACATTCAGACAGCAGGCAGTGCTCCTCATAAGTTCAAGCAACCCCACCAACTTTTACTCTGACAAAGCATATTCTTACCGTGGGAGCTGCCTCGAGTGCTCCATCGACAGTTGAAAAGCTCACATGGTTCATTTTCTTTCATCAATTTCGGACCCAGCTGCAGCAGAAGACAAAAGAGAAATTAAAACCAAACAGAACCCTTATTTCCAATAAGATAACAAAAGAAACTTATTCCCAAAATGGAAAGTGATGAATAATACAGTGAAAAAAATCTTAAACACATTGCGTACATAGGTGAAGCCAGTAGCAACTGGCAGAGGTTTCTCTTCAGTCCATTGAGGCATTTGTGCTAAATCCTTCAGTGAATTTATATTCTCAAAAATCCCATATTTTGGAATCTGAAAAATCAACGGATATTTGAAAGCTATTAAAGGAAATATGAGTGAGATAACTGGAGTTGGCTATTTGGGTAATAAGAAAGTAACTCACTGCAAGGGATAAGCGGCAGTCCCCATAATCAAGAGCATCATGAACAATGATAAGATCTTCATTCCCCTAAAATAGAACTTTAGATGATTAGTGTTCCGTTCTCTTTGAACAAGTAATACGAGTAATGAGCTTTAATTATCAATGCAATTCTTCATATTCATTTTGGATAAGAAAAAAAAATAAACAATGAAAATATCTTTAATAGAAGAACAACATGAAGTAATTTTTCTGACACAATATGCAGAATGAAAGAGTGCAAAAGAGGACAAAGAACTTATATTTAAAAAATAAAAGGGCAGATTCTATGAGATGGCCTGCTTCCAAAGTTTTATCTAACGCTCAATTCTTAAATAAAACATAGTGCAAGGGGATTGTAGCTCAGTTGTTAAGAACATTTACACTTGCACTTGAGGTCTATCTCTCCCCCAGTATCCCTTGTATCAACAAAAATATATAACAGAGGTCTTCCAAAAGAATACACTGCTTTACTGGTCAAGTAACTATGCTGGACTATCCAAAGGTCTCAGAAGCGATGAAAAAGAAGACATAGCCTATTGCTTTATGAGTTGTTACTCTGCAAGTGCATTCACATTTCCATCTGCTTCTGGCTCTGACTTATTTCCTGGTTGGTCAACTACATTCACAGGTCTGACGTCAAGGGATTAAAACAAGGGGGAAAGCCTACTCTAGTTGGTGGAGGCTTTCCTTCTTTTCTCTTTGGCAAGTAATCCAAATGATGATAAGTTTTAAATATCAATGTACTTCTTCATAGTCATTTTGGATAACAAGCAAAGGAAATAGAAAATATTTCTTCAAGAGAAGGACGACATGACTGCAGGTAATTTTTAAACATACACAAATTACTAAGGAAAAACTGTGATAATCTGTTTATCAGTCATTTTAAAATGTTTCAACTGAATATTGATTCATACCTTTTGGCAGAGGTATCATGGAAAAACCAAAGGCAAAAAAAGCAAACTATGATTGGTCTGAGGTAAGTATCAAGAAATTGAGAGATCATGATTGAACGATTACTAAAATCACAAATATCAACGTTTTTGCACACAGTAACAGCACATGGGATGACTCATGACTGTTGGTGTGAATTATATAGCTTTCTCCATTATTTGGCCCGAAGATTACAAAAAAATAATGATAGCAAGTTATGAAAACTTCTAAACAAATTCCACACACACACAAAACA